ATAAGAAATTTCTCCTCACTCGAGTTATGTCGAAAAACATGCTGCTGGAATTTTTGTGCCTGGAGGATCCATCACAATGAAAAAGTCACATACACTTGAATATATTAAAGTATTCGATTCTGAAATCATCAGGTATTCTAAAATGCCAAACCCTAGCTGTTATTGCCTATCTGTGTTACAAGTGATTAATACCAGCTTTCTAGACTTATGATTCAACATTTTCAAATCGCTATTTATAGAACTGGCGGTTGCTAGCTATGCTAAAGCCGTTTTTGCTTGGTTTTTGATGATATATGATGAAGTAAATAAGAAGTCGAATATAACACAACAGTGCTCAAGGATTTATAGGGTTTTAGAGACTTACGTATATATAACTGCAGAAATTCATATGAACAAAAATTATTCAGGTCCAAATCTTCTCTGCTCATCCTTATATGTTGAAGAATCTGATATTCTAAAATCTAAACCAGGGTTGTCGGGGGCCACAATATTAATTTTGTGTTGCTCGCGAGCCAAATTAGTCCCAAGAAATTTGCTTATTATTTATCATTATTCAATCTTTTTATATCAACAATTATGTTGGTTGTTGAAAGTCTCTAAATAACATCCAATGTTTTGTCTGCCAACCTTTGCCTTCTATTAGATTTCAGAATCTTTACAACGGAGAAAGTGCTTTAATAAATGAAGCCTTCCCGAACACCGATAACATGCCGTTTTAGATTATATTGTTTAGGCACTGACACAACTTGCAGGTATACCAAGCATCAAGGGCTTTTTCACAAGCAAGTTCTTTTCTCCTATATTGAGTTGAAAAAATCTGTTTGAATTGGTCAGCTTTCCTTTCGAACTCATGTTTACAAAGCGACTGACAAATCACTGCAGATTGATCGACCATTAAATTCCGGCTAATGTGAGGCAGGCTACAGCAGGGGATATCGCGGCATTAATTGATATTTACTAAATTTTCTGACATATATGCACCAATTTTAGTGTTACTGTTTACGCTGATCACAAAAATACAATGCGGCAGGGGATATAATGCTAGTCAGATATTCAGTTATCTATGTAACCTATAGAGCAGTGGTTCCCAACATTTTTTTCAAGTGACCCAAATTAAAAAAAATATATATATATATTTGGTGAAATCTCGCGACCCAAGAATATACTCGAATACCAAACGGCGTGTAGTGATTTGACGGCCGCAAAATTACATAAATAAATAACTAATATATATATCCTTCTTACATATAGCATTTAATTCAACAGAACTTAATTCAAAGTTGCACTGGTGATAATGTTGCGCTTGTTTGTCGTTAGCGAGTTTTTGAAATCGTGTTAGGGCCGCGAGGGTTTATTAAAACAAATCAATTTGTGGAAGTTTTGAGACATGCGAGGGTGTTGAAATCGTTTTCGCGACTTTTATGCCAGTTGAGGCTGGCCAAGCACGCTATTCAATCACTCTACCGAAATCACTTTTGTCCACTGACTGTCTCAGCTATTCATGTCACAAGTACATCCGACGACGTCGGTGATGCGACTATGCATCAGAAGATTTTTCCGGTTATTTTTATGACAAAGCAATACCAAAATTTTGGATTATCACTAATTGTTACCTTTTCCAGCAAATATAAAACGAGGCCGCAGGTAATTATACAGCGGGCCACGTGTGACCCGTGGGACTTAGTTTGGACGACCCTGTTCTAAACCCAACAAAACTACAACAATTTTACTATTTTTAGTAATATTAAACAGTTTTTGAGACTTATTGTTGATTTTTGGTGCACGATTCCTAATCTCACAACGTACCATTAATGAATGTGTATGATAAAATGATGGTTTGATACCGAATCTAATTTACGAAAAAGCGGAAATATGTTCAAACTGTACACTGAACTAAAATTTCGACGAAATGCCTAATTACGCATTGAATGCATTAAAATATGCCAAAGATCGCATATTCACAATATATATCTGCCGAAGTTACAAGAAGATTCAAGGAAACAATCCGTACGCTACACTATGTTGTACAGAGAGTAATATGCCCAGAATGATTATCACGAAAAAATGACGTATGTTATGTAACGATCCATAGAAAGGCAATTGATGAAAACGATCCATCTGGAGGTGGTTTTGTTTATCTTTAATGTTTCATTTGCTTCATTTCAAGGGCTTTTTCACAAGCAAGTTCTTTTCTCCTATATTGAGTTGAAAAAATCTGTTTGAATTGGTCAGCTTTCCTTTCGAACTCATGTTTACAAAGCGACTGACAAATCACTGCAGATTGATCGACCATTAAATTCCGGCTAATGTGAGGCAGGCTACAGCAGGGGATATCGCGGCATTAATTGATATTTACTAAATTTTCTGACATATATGCACCAATTTTAGTGTTACTGTTTACGCTGATCACAAAAATACAATGCGGCAGGGGATATAATGCTAGTCAGATATTCAGTTATCTATGTAACCTATAGAGCAGTGGTTCCCAACATTTTTTTCAAGTGACCCAAATTAAAAAATATATATATATATATTTGGTGAAATCTCGCGACCCAAGAATATATTCGAATACCAAACGGCGTGTAGTGATTTGACGGCCGCGAAATTACATAAATAAATAACTAATATATATATCCTTCTTACATATAGCATTTAATTCAACAGAACTTAATTCAAAGTTGCACTGGTGATAATGTTGCGCTTGTTTGTCGTTAGCGAGTTTTTGAAATCGTGTTAGGGCCGCGAGGGTTTATTAAAACAAATCAATTTGTGGAAGTTTTGAGACATGCGAGGGTGTTGAAATCGTTTTCGCGACTTTTATGCCAGTTGAGGCTGGCCAAGCACGCTATTCAATCACTCTACCGAAATCACTTTTGTCCACTGACTGTCTCAGCTATTCATGTCACAAGTACATCCGACGACGTCGGTGATGCGACTATGTATCAGAAGATTTTTCCGGTTATTTTTATGACAAAGCAATACCAAAATTTTGGATTATCACTAATTGTTACCTTTTCCAGCAAATATAAAACGAGGCCGCAGGTAATTATACAGCGGGCCACGTGTGACCCGTGGGACTTAGTTTGGACGACCCTGTTCTAAACCCAACAAAACTACAACAATTTTACTATTTTTAGTAATATTAAACAGTTTTTGAGACTTATAGTTGATTTTTGGTGCACGATTCCTAATCTCACAACGTACCATTAATAAATGTGTATGATAAAATGATGGTTTGATACCGAATCTAATTTACGAAAAAGCGGAAATATGTTCAAACTGTACACTGAACTAAAATTTCGACGAAATGCCTAATTACGCATTGAATGCATTAAAATATGCGAAAGATCGCATATTCACAATATATATCTGCCGAAGTTACAAGAAGATTCAAGGAAACAATCCGTACGCTACACTATGTTGTACAGAGAGTAATATGCCCAGAATGATTATCACGAAAAAATGACGTATGTTATGTAACGATCCATAGAAAGGCAATTGATGAAAACGATCCATCTGGAGGTGGTTTTGTTTATATTCAATGTTTCATTTGCTACGTTTAAATTTAAAAATGGTCCGGAAATAATTTTAGCATATAAGGCTGGCATGTCACAATTAGGCTTGCACGTAATTGACAAAAATCAATTCCGTAATTACGGCCAAATCGATTACGTAATGACCCCGTAATTGCGATATTTTTTTCACACATTTAAACCTATCATAACAACCAATTTAATCCACTTCTATTCCGAATGGGACATCGAAGTTTGGTTTTCATATTCCCGGCAGTACTACACGCCGGCGACAGATGTTAAAGACAAATATCAAGGAGTGAATTCAAAATAATTTTATTCTGATTTTGATCTTTTGTATTAACTTTGATTTTCCTTTATCAACTTTATCACCAAATTTTATGCGATCAATTTTATCATTACCAACACTGGTAATATATTTATGAAACGATAGTTCACTTTTTTAAAATCGTTTACGTATTAACGTATCAGTAATACGACTTTCGTATTAAATAAAAATTCCGGGTTGCTTATTTATTAATCAACTACGACTACAAGCGTATTCTCTCGTTTGATTATACTTTCGCTTAACTCGCGACGAAGACTTGTTATTTTACCGATTTTTACAATATCCGACTTTACTACTTATTTAGCATTTTATAATAATTATTGATGCCGACTTATTGACGATATTCCGATTTCCATGCTTCATTTTACATTAAATCATTTCGCGGCCTAAATGTTAGAACATTATTTGCGATAAATTTAGATCAAATATTAATTATTTGCGCATAATTTAAAATACCGTACTTATATGACATGCCTTCTCCGAAAATACAAAGTTATATCGCAAAACAATGCATTTTGTGACATTTTTTTGCACTCATGAAAATATTAATTTATTTTTCTAACTCAAGTCGACAATCCTATTTGCCAAGATTGACACAAGTTTGGTCGAGTGCCGGTGGTATTCGAGTCGACGATAAATCAAAATAAGTTGCCGCAGTTGGTAAAGACAGGTAATCATATTTGGCCGACATATTGCGAGGCATTGTGTAAAACATATTGAGCAATGCCAAGTCCGGACAGCTATATAACGATAAAATCGGTAACAGAACATCAAGATTTTGTAATAGAAAATGGATCTGGCGCAGAATAAACACGGGAAATCGCGTCGTATTGTTGTTTCTCTGCCGTCTCAATCGCTTTACCGATGCCGAAAAGACTAAGTTGCGTTGGTTCATTACGCAATTTCTCTTCCGTCTTTATATTGCTGTTTGATACGCGCGACATTAATTATCACGGCATTTACAAATAGACCATGTTTTATAAGATGATCTCTTACATTCTTTAGTCATTTCACCCGAAGAAGTTGAAACCAGGTGTGTTGGCGTCCATCGGTCTCAACACAATTCTATCCCTTATCTACGGTTAATATGTACATTGGCCATGCTAGATAAGTTGATAATATGTTAGTAAATGACGCGGTATGCCTTCCCCATCTGCGTAACAAGAGAGAGAAAAACGGCTGCGAATACCACAACTCTAACATCTTCTACCTAAACTTTTAATTTTTTACAATCGACGGAATTGACTGCTTTAAGTAAGCTCGTTTCAATCGCGAAAGCGCTCGACCAATAATTACGACTTTACGTAATTCGTAACTTCGCTTCCGTAACTCGAAATAATTCCGTAAATTATGTACAAGCCTAGTCACAATCATACCGGGGCATTTTGTTGATGTTCGAGCAGAGAAAATGGCATCGAAGGTTTTCAAGCTTTTGCTGATCATGCATATTGTGGTGCTTTGCACCTGGTAAGTATGTTATGATATAATACATTATATATGATAAATGAATATACGAGGATATTATGACTTTGATAAAACTATTTGAAAGATAAAACACAAAAAAATTGTACTTGAATAATCAACTTATAAAACTAAATATTTTCAATTACATTGCAATTTGGTAAATTACAGCGACTTGTCACATATCTATTTGAAATTTGTGCCAGATTTTCTTAATTTGCATCAAAGTGGTTGGAATCGTTTTATTTTCTCATTTCTAAAAAAACGTGGACCAGCTGCATAGATGTGTTTACTAATTAGTTGTCAACAATTTCAAATTATTTACTTTATATTGCAGTGCTAAGAGTATCGAAAACTCCAAGCGGGCGAATAAGGATGCAGGTAAGAAATTGCGTAAAGTGAATAAAATGTGATGATGCCCGTGTTTTCATCTTATGTGTACTTCTACGATGCGAAATATCCCTTCTATTGAAATATTGCAATCATCCTTTTTTCCTTTTTTTTTGCCTTGAATTGACATGGCCAAAACTCTTAAAATCACTTCTCTGTATTATGCGTTAATCGCTTTGCCTTCCCGTTTTAACACAAAAATACATTGAACAAAACTAATTTTAAAAATTAGCAGGCATTTTTGTCCACCTAAATCTCATTAAAATCAAGAATTATAATTGAGACTACCGACACAAAAATTAATCTCGACTCAAACAAACGAAAGTTGCGCCGAGCTTTGGTCATAGTAATAGTACTGAATTTCTGAAATAAGTGCTCATAAAACCTGATTAGCGTGAAAAAGCCATCGAATAATCGATTGAGTCTTTACTCAATTATTATTTACAATTTGTTATGGCGTACCAACATTTTTATTCTAAGCTGCCACTATTTTGATATGTATATTCTTTCATTTCAGAGTTGGTGTCAAACAACTTCAAAGATTCCGAAAAAATTGTATTCTGGCCGATAGGTTGGGGGGATTCAGAAAATCAAAGGTTGGCGTCAAACGACCTTAAAGATTCTGAAAAAATTGCATTGTGCCCGATGTGTTGGTGGGATTCAGAAAATCAAAGGTTGGCGTCAAACAACCTCAAAGATTCCGAAAAATTTGCATTGTGGCCGATAGGTTGGTGGGATTCAGAAAATCAAAGGTTGGCGTCAAACAACCTCAAAGATTCCGAAAAAATTGTATTCTGGCCGATAGGTTGGGGGGATTCAGAAAATCAAAGGTTGGCGTCAAACAACCTCAAAGATTCCGAAAAAATTGTATTCTGGCCGATAGGTTGGGGGGATTCAGAAAATCAAAGGTTGGCGTCAAACAACCTCAAGGATTCCGAAAAAATTGTATTCTGGCCGATAGGTTGGGGGGATTCAGAAAATCAAAGGTTGGCGTCAAACAACCTCAAAGATTTTGAAAAAATTGTATTTTGGCCGATTGGTTGGTGGGATTCAGAAAATCCAAAGTTGGCATCAAACAACCTCAAAGATTCCGAAAAAAATTAATATTGGCCGAACCTGAAGTACATGTAACTGTGGATAACCTCTGATTCAATCAATCGCACAATTTAATCACAGACATCTTATAAGATTTGATTCTATAATATTCAGATCAATTATATTCGTGTATTCAGAGGCTTAAATATGTATCCCAGAATATAATATAATGCATTGAATAGTGTCTCATTTTATACATATAGGTATATTCACAGAGCTGTAGAGCTTAAGAGCAGAATTAAAAGCTTTTTTAGTCGATATAAAAAAGGATATGAGGAATTAGCACGCTACACGTAGAGTTTTTACCGGCGATCGCCTGGCATTACATACTACTGGAATGCAGTTGTGGTATTTTAATGTCCTTTCAGGGTAAAGAACACGAGAATTTTCATAAAATCGCTGTAAATGAAGTCTCAAGACAGTCACTGATATTGTGAGAGTCACACGTACCTTGAATGTGTGTTATCGCGGGAAAACTTTTAATGGTATGCATTTCAGTCTATATATATGTATTTTTTCAAGATTTTTGGCGTTTACCGCTCATATAAAATGGACTTTGTTTGTGAGACTCGATTTTAAAAAAAGTCTATCCCAGCAGTTCTTAATTAACCTGGGGAAATTTTCCCCTGGGGGTAAATTTCATTATTCTTAAGGGTAAATTTCGTTATTGTGATAAAAAGATTTGGAATAAACAAAAACCGCATCTATTTGCTTGTTTTATTACGAGAAACGCTGTGCTATTTGTAGGCTGCGGGAAACCTGTATTATCAATTAGCCTATTATTGAATAGGCTGATATGTATTGAACCATCTTTGCGTCACAATATCGCGAATCTTGCAGAAGGTGATTCTGACAACAGTTATGGAGGCCGCCTGAGGATTGTCGCAAATTCAGCGTTGGAGTGAGGAGTGTTAATTCAACAGTCATTGGTTCCAGGTAAAAATTAACGAAGTTCTAGTTAAACAAGCTTCATAAAAATCAAATTGGTAAGTTTCAAGTTGGGAAAAAATAAGCATGGCAAGATCTTGGATAGGTGTCATTAATTTGTAGCCCGTTCAAGTTGCAAGTTATTACAAAAGCTTCGCACGGTAGCAAATATTTCTGCTTGTACCGTTACCCCGATAGGCCTACAGGTACTGGCAAGTTACCGCGCAAGATTTTCAGGGAATTGACGATAAAATATTTTGTTTTGCTCTCCGTGCCCATATATATATTTGAGTATAGCTTTCTCCAGATCAGTAGGCTTATATTTCATCCGAATTTGAAAACCAACACCTTTTAGCTTTTTGTTATTTTACCAGACATTGAGGATCTGATTGCCGCAAAACAAGGACAGCCGTCGCATTTCCCATTTCCGTCGGTACCTCATCCAGTCACTCTCCGACCCCAACGCTCCTTTTGCACCGAATCCCATACTCGCGGAGAAGAAGGGGTAGAAAGAAAAGGGAGAGATTGAAATACTTCGCGTCTAAAGTTGGAGCTCATTAAACGTCGCTTGAAGAATTTTTAATAAATGATCATCAATGGCTACATTGGGGGTATTAATCTTCCAATTTTGTTCGCTAAAGGGGTAAATAATGCGAAAAAGGTTAGGAACCACTGGTCTATCCTGTCGAAATGGAACGTAAATTAGTATGTCTCGTCGATGACGTAGTACTGAAAACTTATCGGCGTAATTTTGAATTAGGTTTAAGGCATTTAGTACGTTTTTTGGTATTATTTTGCTATATGGTTCTATGGGGCGTTGCCAGCAGGCTTGTCCATGGGACATATTTTTCTGTCCCATCCCATAGAAATTTAATTTTCAGTGAAAATTTTCTAAATTTAGGTTTAGCGTTCACTAAATAGGACTACATGTACAAAGAGACATGCAAAACGACAAAATTTATTGACTTTGTTAAATTTAATTAAAGAATCAGAACTATTATTTAACTAACAAGAGAGCTATGCTCAAATAGATGGACACAAAGTCCATATCGAAATGTTTTGCCATCAATTTCCGGTAACAGTGCGCCTACTTTCCTAGCTTTTCCAGGTTCTGTGAAGATAATCAATTCAGCTTAGGGTTACCATATTTTTTTGACTTCAAAGCGGGACGCCTTCAAAGACACGACCTCTTAGCTGTGATCCTGTAACTTTGCAGTTTCCGAGGTTTTCGATCTTTCGTATGTGAAAAATATTATGTTAGCCGACGCAATATTACGAGAAGAATTTTCGTAAGTTGATATTTTGTACCCAGAGCCTTTCATAGGTAGAGTTTCTAGGTGCGGCCCGCGGCTTTATCCAGTAACTTGTATCTGGCCTCCTGCCAATGAAGGTTGCACACCCCTGCCTTAAAAGATATATCGCAGGCATAGTGAAGGAGAATAAATAACGACGAGAAGGTGCTCGGAGTCCAACGTTACGGATCACACTGAATTAGATCAAAACAAACAATATACCAAAATGCAATCGCACGCCATCCAGAGATTTCCACAATCCTCAAAAATTGATCAGAAACCACCCTCTGCTCGCATATCCCACTTTCGATTAATATACGGTGTCACCTAGATGTTCGCACTTGTGGCCAAATATAAATTTGTCCGAATACATCATATAATTTCTATTTCAACAGTGTATATGAATACAGCCGTATAAACATAATTACCATTGAATTTCCCGGTATAATACTCCATTTTACGACATTTCAGGCTTTAATTTCATGCGGCTCCGCCACAAGAAAAGCATTGTTTAAGAGCCCCAGAATATGATTTTACAGACGGTCATTCAAGCGTGGCACCATTGTCATCAATGGTGGCACGTCTGTAGCGACAACAATGAGTTTTCTATCCATTGTTAAGTCATCAATGCTCAGACTTTTCATAAACAAAGTCACGTGATCAGTGAAGTGAAGGGGTTCTCAATTTTTTTGGTGTTATGGAGCGCTGAAGAGGTTGACTATTATTTATGGAGCCCCACAATATATTTGCTTCCTATAGGACAATTACAAAATTAGCCTAGTCAAGTATTTTAATTATAAGTATACGGATTGCTCGCTCAGCTCCTAGGTTTTTCTTACGAAGCCATGAGACTCAGTATGGAGCATTTCGAGAACCTGTGCTCTATATAAACATTCGAGGCCTACTAAATCAGACTGAAAGTCATGAGATATTTAGTTACCACCACCGCGTTGCCTAAAATTCGATTGCTGCGGCATTTAATTCATTGATTTTCAGCCATTGTTACCGATTTAAACAGGGCTACAAACGGTGCTTTCGCTATTTTTCTAAAAATTATACATTTGAAGATGCAAAGTGATCTTAAAATATAGATAATAAAAATAAACCGGACAACCGAGACACACCTTTTTTCAAAGAATTGAACCGGTGTGTGGGAATGTTTAATTTTGCTGTGGGGTTGTGGCATTGGTAAATGTACCGGTAGAACTGCGACCCCCGTATATAATAAACTCTTCTGGACGAGGTTAGTGGGACAATTTTCATTTCACCCAGTTGCTTAGTGTGAGGGATAGCGTTAGATCAGTTTGGAAGAGTGGTCGTCGCCGATTAGCCATAAATAAATAAAATAAACATTTAAAGGATGTTACTTCTATAAATGTCTTAACTCTATCCTCTTTTTTCGTTTAGGCCAAATTTAAATACAGTGATCTTTCGAGATATTTGACGTAGAGTTGCAAACTGCTAATTCGGCTTACCTTTGTGTGTTGCTTTACCCCGGGCGTGGCGTTCCATGAGAACGATACTTGTGTCAAAGATAGGTCAGATTGGATCGATCAATTATAAATTGAGAATAATGAGAGAGGAATGGGTGCTGCAAAGAAGAATCACTATATTATGGCCTCGATGGGCCTGTTGTTTGCAGCAAGTTGTTTTGGCATTGCAGGTAACGAAGATCGATCAATCGCATTCTGCATTAGGAATAACTCTAGTGCATTTCGATTAATTTATTATCTATACTCAACTGCGATAGCCTACTACTTTGTGTCCACAATCGGAAGTGACACAGAGAGCAGCGGAATCAACAGGAACGCTAGTTATAATCAGACGCAAATAACCTACCAAGAACGAGGTAAGATAACGGTTATTCTAAACCCTTCCCTAACCGGGGAGGAGTTTTGTTTGTTATTTGCTGTAGTATGACCACTGCTATTCTTCATTTCTTTAGTATTATATTGCTTAATAATTATGCAACACATTATGAACTACTTAAACTGTACAAACAACCAAGAGCGCGATTACGAGTTTTTATGCATGTTGAGAGTGGGATGACGAGTCCCGTACAAGGGCCCTGTATAAACAAATCTGTCACCATTTCGCATCGAATTTTAATGTATAATATCAGGCACTTCATGAGTTGAACCCACGAAAAGAAATCGCTTAAAGCTAATTCGATAGCATGAAAGCGTGATTCAAGTTATTTTTTCCACAAAGGTTGCTGACAAAACAAATAGCAAAATATTCGTAAAAGTTTTATTTACTGTTGGGAGTGACAATAGCACCAAATAGCACCAAAAATCAATGAGGAGCCAGAAAAACATGAGGAGAAGGTAGCCACTTCATTCTAATTAAATGTCATGCTCATAAATCAGTATTTCCATTCAAAGACGCAAGGGCTTCTACGCGTTTGCCTTGTTCAGTCAGACCTCAATTCCATAGCAGTATAGCTGCAGTCGAGAAGACCTTTTTACAGGCTGTTGAGGTAGATGAAACTAATAGATGTTTTAGGGCAAGCTGTGACAAGTTAGGACAGTGGTGGGCAACCTTTTTCGTCTCGCGTGCCAAAATCGGCTAAATTTGGCCACAAAATTCTTCCGCGTGCCGACCGAAATTAAAAACAATGCTTTGCTACATTCAAAGCAAAAAATATTCACTATTCGGGAAAATATCAGTCCGACAAATAGATTTGATTACTTTCTTAGGTGCTCCCGAAGTATGCGAACCAAGATGGCGGACATCGGAATGTAATATGTGTACTAGGTTAGGGTTAGGCCATAATTTTTTTTCAATTTTCCTTATTTTAGTCCTATTATCAGTTCGAAGACTAGCCAAGAGCCTCCCGTAGTATTTATACCTAAAATTATGGCCTAACCCTAACCTAGTACACATATTACATTCCGATGTCCGCCATCTTGGTTCGCATACTTCGGGAGCCCCCTTTCTTATTATATGACGTCCAACGACTAACATACCGGATATGTCAATGAGACTTCTGCTGCTGCATTACCGCTGATAGAGATTTTACATTGGGTTTATATTTTTTAAGTTTCAAAGAAATACACGAACTACTGGTTTCATCTTTTAGGCTACTCCTGTCACGAGACTTAAAAAAGATTCAGATAATTTATTTTCGTCATGCATGAAACATTGTAACACAAACAATACTAAATCAAGGCAAAAAAAACAAAAACAGATACACAATGTTATGCTGCTGAGTTCAGCAGCAGATGACGTCAAAAAACGTCAAATAATTTAGCTAGATTTAAATACGTACAGAGGAAAATTTGGAAACGTAAATCGAATCGAGAGAGTAGGTATAAAGAGAAATGTTTAAATTTAAAATTATGAATGGACTCGAGAGAGTTGGGAGAGAAATGTTTAAATGGGAGAAAAAGAAATATCCATCGTGTCGAGCAAAGTGATTTATAGTCACTTCATAACCAGAGGCGGATTAAGCCCCTTTGGTTCCCCTAATCACTGAATACTTTGGTGCCCCCTCATGTGCAATTTAATTATAAAAACAATAAACCACATAAGTGTATTATCCATTAAAATTGTCACTCCCAACAGTAAATAAAACTTTTACGAATATTTTTAGGTTTTTTAGCTGTTATATATAGCTTATATATATATCGGCCGTTTACTGCCGATATGATATATCGGCAAAAACGCATATATCGGGCCGTTATATCGGTTGAGCTCTAATCCTGAGGGAGTGTGACAATAAAGATTCATGCCTCTAGTCTCAACGTGAATCGAATCGTCAATCAAAATACCAAAGAATACAAGTCACAACTGTAGTTTGGAATTTTACCGGTACCTAGTAGTCTACCTCAGGGTGGTTCAACGTTGCTAGGTTGAAGCACCGCAAAAACTTTTGAGGTGTCGCGGGCCGCAAGTCGGAGAAAACCCAAAAGTGATCGAAATATCGCGAGTTTACTTACTTTAAATTTATTAAACAACGAGAGTTTAACGTTCTAATCAGACTATTATTACGTTGCATGGATGGCGTTCTTTTAAAGAAGATATATAAAGCCTTCAGTTATTTCAAAGTTAATTCCCGAGAATTACCGTTGTATTTTGCGCATCTCGCGTTTAATGTGGCTTCAAATTATATTCTTTCGTGGCAGATATTACTTGAAATCAAACCAGACACTGTGTGATGGGCAAGGAAACACGTTTCCGTTGTTTTTTTCCTTATATCACCTTTCTTGAAACACACATTTTATTACGAATTGTTATATTGGGTAATTTAAAAACTTGCAGCGTGAGCAAGCTTAGTGCCATCGTCAAATACCAACCAAGTCCGTCTAAGTTGGTATTTCGGGACCTAGCTAAAAAAACTGGATTGCGCGGCGTTAAGTCGGCTCTGCGTTTCGTCACTACTGTCACATGGCCGACGCTTAAAACAGAGGAGTGTTTTTACTAAAATAAAGGCACAAAGCGTTAGACAAAGGGTTTGAATCTCGGAATCCCAACCCCAGTGGGAATAGCTGAAAAAAACTCAAAAACGTTCCTCCATTAGATACAAATATACGCTAAAATTGTTTGGTGAGCCGCCCGGAATGTATCAGCAATCAGCATGGCAGGGTTTGGACCACCCTGGTCTATCTTATCAAAAAACTCCCGACTTCGCTGACCACTAGATCGTTGGAATGCGATCGTGGAACCGCCACATAGTGTAAATACTTCATTGGTCCAATTGTTGAAGTGAAATGAAATTTTTTTAAAACAAAAATGCAGCAACAAGGAGAATACTAGAAAGAAAAAACAACAACAATTTAAGAAAACGACTCATAGGCCCATTTCCAAAAAAAAGTTTCAGTGTTTATTTTTAATAAAGATGGTTAATATGATACTTTAAGACGAAAAATGAGCGGATAAGCACGTGCTTATATTGTTTAATGGTTAATCCGACGCTGGTCATAACTGAGAACAGAGATTCACAAGCATATGTATATGAAAACATGGAGAGTAATGCAGTTGCAAAGTTTTTAAGATATGAAAAATTCTCGGGAATGGCATCCCAATCACGCTATAGTTCGTTTTCTGCACTTCTCTCTTGTATTCCCTTCCCTAATCGCTTATATTTCTTTCGAAATCAAATTATAATAGTAAGTTAGCAAGTTACTCTAACCAACATGATCTGTACAACTTCATAAATCAATCAGGAATGACGAAAAAGTGTGACACAGACGATGTAGGATACGTAACAATGTAGCTAAATGAATGAAGTGTTCTTCTCGACAAAATTCGTCGAGAGCTCACTCACTTGTTACGTCATAATATATTTCGTTCTATAGCCAAATGTCATGAAAAGATTAAACGAGTTCGAATGAATAACGGATTGTTAAGAAATGATAATGAATAAACAAACACCGAGTTTCATCACATAATTCAGAGTCTCGAAACTTTTTATCTGAAAGAGAATGATCTCGTTTCTGAGGCCTCGCTCGCGTGCCGAATAAATGGGCTCGCGTGCCAATTTTGGCACGCGTGCCAGGGGTTGCCCACCCGTGAGTTAGGATAACAGTTTTTATTATCAAGCTACCATATAATTTAAATATCTTAGAATATCATTCGCTGTTGCGAACGCGTCTGAAATGGTTAAATCAAAAGTGATGACGTATTTCTTGTTAGGTCATAACGCGATACCTTGACGAATTTCAGTTTGAATTCGATATGGCGTCATAATATCCGCCTCGAAAGTCGAAACAGCCCCGTTTTGACCAAGGGCCGGCAACCAACTTGCCTAATGTTAAACAAGTTCATGGACGCCATCTTGTGCCATATTGGGAAAATGCGAAACAATGGTGTGTTATGGGAAATCTTTTGTAGTGATACGCCGATTTGACGGAGTATAATGCCACCGCAACAATCCTACAATGTCATTTGGTCTTCTAGCGCAGCTCGGGGCTGAGCAGGCGGGCATTATGGAGCTTGACAGGCGAGAAAATGTTGACCCAAAAATAGAAACGGCCATTGAAGCGAATTTGAGTTTTGAAGCAAGAATTTACAGAATCAAACCAGACAGTCAGTGTTCCCATGGATTTAGATTTTTAGCCTATTTTATCACAGCTATTTCTAGACTAATTTTTCATTATAACTATTAAAACTACAACTCCTAAGGAGGCAAATGATGATTGACTCATTTGATTCATACTTAAATTTCCGAAACACAACTAAAAACTAACGAATAGCATTCGAAATCGCAAAATAAGGTAATGTTTACAACCACGACTGAAAATCTGTCTGAGTGTCTCAACAGATGCGAAAAGGCATAATGTTACGTCACTTCTTTGCATCTCGCTGATTGGTTAATGTTACGAAATAAAAAAGGAAGGCGATTCTCGGAAAACGCCCCTTGGAAAAATATTTCGCCCTTTTTCGTGTTATTGCGGGTCAGGTGAAAGGACGCCGTAGTTTGGTGACCCCTGGTGTAATTGAGCCAAAATTATAGCAAATTACATTTACAATTACACAGACTGAAAATACCTCAATTACATTACAATTACATGAAAAACTGTAATTAATTACATCAATTACAATTGATCCAACTCTGTACCTAATGCATTCCAATCGTCATAATTGACCATTTGACAATGTCGTTCCTTATGATGTCACAGATGGAAAGTTGTATTTATTCGTCGAAATTACCGGCCGACTCGACTTCGCTTCAATGGCTGTTTCTACTTTCGGGTTAACATTTCTCGTCTGTCGAGCTTTATGAAGTCCGATTGTGATAGAAGACCAAATGAAATTGTAGGATTGTTGCGGCGTCATTATACACCGTCAAATCGGCGTATCACTATATGGTTCTACGTCGCGTATTCGTGGCCAAATTTAACGCAT